GTGGGTTCTATCGCCACCCCCATTTTACAGCTGAAAAGTGAGGTTCAGAGGGGTGGAGTTCCCACAGGTAGTAACAGGAAGAGCTAAATAGTTAACAGGGATTTAACCCAATGCCCCCAGCCTGATCACCACCTGATCCTCTCCGGACAGGGCCGTGGGTGGTTGTGAGGATGGAATGAGCTAGTGTAGGTCAACGGCTTGCTTAGCCCAGCGCCTGGGACATAGCAGGTGCTTAGTAAATATTAGAAGCTGGGCTTGGGTTTGCAGCTTCTTCAACCCCACCCGGTGGCCCACAGATCCAAGGGCTGGGACCGAAGAGGCCCAGGACCCTGGAAGAGGGGGTGGGGTCCGCAAAGGCTCCTCACCTACAGCCAGGCTTTACCAACTACTTCATTTTGGGCCAAATACTTCATGCTGGATTTTACAATCAGCACTTGGCTTATCACTATCCTCGAGTGAACTTCAGGATATGAAACTAAATTCCGACATTTTTTCCGAACGTTAGCTTCAACTTTCTTGCCCTTCCCAGGGCTGTGGTTGGCGACTGCTCTTGAGGCTTTACCATAGCGCCCATTTGCCTTTCCACATAGACGCTGCTCTCTGCTGGGGTCCCCATCATGGCCACGGCAGGTCAATCGATCAAGTCTTAGGCCTGAACACATTGTCAACGGCGCTGCCATTTCATCACAGCAATGCCTGTAGCATGGCAATGGCCTGGTGGCAATGCTTTCTGAACCTTTTCAAGGGCAGCCCTGTGTTTTCAGGCCTTTTGAATAAAGTGGCACCTGCTGGCTCTGGCCAGCAGTGGGGTCGCACTGCCCTCTGGTGGTCACTGGCAGGCATAGCTTCACCAGCGCTGAGTGGGCATCCACAGGGGCTGAACGCGCTGTTGGGGAGACTGGTCTGTCGGGGAGACTGGTCAGGAAGGAGCATAGTGGTGGAATCGGGGAGAGGCTGGGAAGGGCCCGAGGGAGCCTTCTGGGGACCTGGACACCCCTTCCGTCTTGTCTGAGTTGTGTTACCCAATGTAAAATTACATCAAGATGCACACTTGAGTTTTGTGTGGGAAACTGTAAACTATAAAACGAAAATGTAAACATCCCCTTTACATTTATGAGGAAGCCCAGTTGTTTTTGACCGGACACCCTACCTCCATCCCTCCCCCCCTCCAAACCATCGTCCCCCCATCCCCGCCCCCAGCAGCCAAGGTGGTTTTTTAACAATGTAAATCAGATCAGGCCACTCTCCTGCTTTAAACTCTCGGGTGTGTTCTCACTGGATGGAGAATAAAATCTAAACTCCGGTAAAATTTCAAATTCAGAACCAAAAGGACCAACCACATCTGCCTGGGCCTTCCCTTCCGACCCCATGACCTTCGTCCTCAGCTCCAGTCTCTCTGGGTTCCCTTCCCTTCCCTCCAGGTCGGAGGCTTTGCTTGCCCGCAAATTGTGTACTTCCTGTGTCCCCCCCACCCCTGCCGCCCGCCCCCCACCCCCCAGTGCTTTCCCTGGACTTTCTCACCATCCAGGTCTGAGCTCTGGTACCACCTGCTCAGAGGTGACCACAGTGCCCCCCACATGCCTTTTCTGGTTACTCTGTCACCCCAAGGCTTCCTTCTGGACTCCAGCCAGCACCCGAGGAGGAGGAGGAGGAGGAGGAGGAGGAAGGAAGGAAGGAAGCACCCATCGCTGACCCCGCAACGCCCCGTCGGGTGTCCTTAAAGTCACAGTCTCAACCAACAGAAAGACCCTCAGCGTTTATCCCCCCTGGACAAGAGGCTGCTTTTTGGGCCCTAAATGTTTCACTGGACGGATCCCGTGATCTCTTTCAAAAGGATGTTCTCAGTCCCCCTTGTGAAACTGGCTGCCTCGGACCCCGGGGTCCACCTGCTCCTCCCTGCTGGGGTCACACGACTGCCTCTCTCCTCTTGCCCTCAAGGTGCTTCGTGGGGGTGGCGACCTGGGTTGTGGCTCACGCTTGTGGCCGGGGTGTGGCCGGGACCTGGGGAGTGTGTGCTGGTTTCTTGCTCGTGGCTGCCGTCACTCTCTGTTGTTCCTCAGGACTAGGTGACGGGAGGGAAAGTCCGCCCCACTGGGGGCCGTGTGTGTCCTCACGTCTGTGCCTGGTGAACGGCAGATGCTCGCTTCACCTGAAGCGTGACAGGGCCTCCGCACGCGTCTCCGGCTCACACCACTGAGACCGCTGCCCCGCTTTTGGTGACGGTGGCTCTGCAGCAACCAGCAAGGAGGCTTCCCGATTCACAGAACCGCTTTCCTCAACCACACAGTGTCCCCTGCAGGACCAGGCTGGTACTGCCATGGGGAACTGGCTAGAAACAAGCTACCTCCACGGCAACAAGCTCTGCCAGAGAAGTCTCCAGAACTGACATCTGACCTTTAAGACTTTAAAAATATTTTTTAAAAATATTTTTTAAAAATATTTTTCTTTAATGTTTATTTTTGAGAGAGAGGGAGAAGGAGAGAGAGAATCTGAAGACAGGCTCCAGGCTCTGAGCTGTCAGCACAGAGCCCGACATGGGGCTCGAACCTACAAACCATGAGATCATGACCTGAGCCGAAGTCAACCGCTCAACCAACTGAGCCACCCGGGTGCCCTGATCTTTAAGACATTCTCACAGTAATTAATTCACAGCATGCAATATATCAATAAGGCACTTTCCCCCTTCACCGTATGTGTCATAGCCCCTACGGGTCACTGTTTGTTTGTTTTTTTTTTTTATTAATTTCTTGTATCTTCTGCCCAAGTTTCTTTCTGCAAAATATGACCATACAGGGTTTTACTTTTCTCTCCATTTTTACACAAAAGGTGGCAGGTGCCATGTGCTGTTCCGAAACTGGCCCTTTGCACTTAGTGACACGTCCTCGAGATCGTCCCAAGCTGATCCACAGGGAACATCCTTGTTCTCTCTCGTGGTTGTGTGGTGCTCTACCAGGTGATCTTATTGTACATTAACCGAGTCCACCACTGATGGGTGTTTGGGCTGTGCTCATTGTCTGCTATCACCAGCAGCGTTGTAGAAAATAAATCTGTATGGAGTTTTCACACCTATGTAAATATAGCTGTAGATAAGTCCTCATAAGTGGAATTGCTGAGATTTACCAACTGGGTCAATACTGCTGACTTGCCCTCCATAGTAGTTGCACCAAGGGCCAATTTTGGCCTCCACCAGCAATCTCCCAAGGGCCCACAGCTGCTCTGGTACTAGGATCCTAAAGCTTTCATATTTTTGTCAATCTGATGTGGAAAATGGCATCTCAATGTATGAGTGAGATTGACCCTCTTTTAATTTATTTTAAAAAATGTTCGTTTATTTATTTAGAGAGAAAGTGTGAGCAGGGGAGGGGCAGAGAGAGGGGGCGTGAGAATCTCAAGCAGGCTCCACGCTATCAGCGTGGAGCCCAGCTCGGGGCTCGACCTCACCAACCGTGAGATCATGACCCGAGTCAAAATCAAGAGTCAGATGCTTAATCGACTGAGTCACTGAGGCGGCCCACTGCCAGTGCGTGTTAGATGCTTAATTAACATCTGATAAAAGCAATACCCTGCTCCAGCTCTTGGTAATGTGAATGCTTGGTGTCTTGAGTAGGAATGTGAGCCCATGTGATAAACCACTAGTACTACTAACAGTATTATGTGCTGTGGAAGTTGGGATGCTCTTGGCTGTAAATAACTATGCAAGAACCAACCCAAAATATTTAAACCATAAGAACATTTGTTAACTCACATAATAAATGTAACCTAGCTTTCCAAACAAGTGTCCTTTTAAGAATTAATGCTGTACCCATGGAAATTGGCTATGCTAAGCATGTGGACTATTGCCCATAAATGAACCAAATTAAAGAGTCCAAGGATGGAGGGAAAAAGACTGGGTTAAAAATTTTAAAGCCATTTTTTGAGTTCTGCATTTGGGATGAAGAGTGTGGGGGGTCACACATCCCCAAACTTTTCAGTCGCCAAAGGTTTCTGTTTTGTGTTTTGTTTAAGCCACTTTGTTGTGTTTCTGTCCTTTGCAACTGAAAGAAATCTCAGTGGTGGCCCTGGGACTTCTAAAGCCTTTGGATAGGCAGATATGTTCAGCCTTTGTTGGGTCTCTGTCCTTCTGCTGGGCTGTCAGGAAGTTCTGGAGTTGTGTTCAGACTTCTGGGAGGCGAAGGGCTTTTGTTTGTGGCTGCTGAACAGTCCAGTTACTCTACTCTAAGATTGTTCTCAAGAACTGCAAGACACTGCTGGGGAAACAGTGAAGATCAGCAGCCTGGAGCCAATGAACCTTAGCTGTCCACCCCCCCCCCCATCCATCCACCCATCCCCCATCTACCATCCGTCTGATCATCCATCCATCCATCTATCCATCTGTCCATCCATCCATCCATCCATCCCCATCTACCATCTGTCTGTCTGATCATCCATCCATCTATCCATCCATCCATCCATCCCCCATCTACCATCCATCTGTCTGATCATCCATCCATCTATCCATCCATCCACCCATCTATCAATCTGTCCATCCATCCGTCCATCCATCCATCACCCATCTACCATCTGTCTGATCATCCATCTGTCTACCCATCCATCTGTCCATCCATCTATCCATCCATCCATCCATCCTTCAAACTTCAATAAATGCTGTATCTGTGCCAGGCTGTTATGGGCGCTGAGTATACAGAATGAAGGAGACACTGTCCTTGACCGCTGGGAGCTCTGAGTGCTCTAGGATTCAAGCTAACACACTTACCTTACAGACTGTGGACTCCCAGTTTCCATCAGATGCAGCCTTTGACATTTAGTCACCAAAACAGAAAAGTAGTTGACCACCCAGGTGCTAAATTTCAGGGTTAAGGGGCAGTTCTATCTGTGTCATCCAAACCTCTTCCGGTGTGGATGGCTCAAAGTCTAATAGTGCCTCTAACGGAAGCCTATTAAAACAGACGTAATGGAAGCCTTAAGAAGAGTGGTCATTAAACAGCGACACCCTACCCCCCTTCAAAATGTAAACGTGGGTTTATTTAATGCCTTTTGTCCGTCACAAAGTACCGCCTCCTCCCCAGGGCCCCCCCTCCGAGAAAACAAGAGGGCGGCGTAAGGCACGTGCACTATCCACATGACACCAGGTTGGTCCCTAAAAACAAAAATAAGCAACAGTTTTCCCACCAGCCCCGAATCGCCTCCCCGCCAATTGTTCAAGGAATGATTGTCCCCCCGAAGCACAACTGGGGGCCGAGCGAGCTTACGGTAGAGCTGCCCCGCCCCCCATGCCAGTTTAGAAAACCAAACCAAACCGACGACTAAGAAAACCAACAACACAGGTACGAGACATAATGCCGGAGTAGTGAGCTTAGTCCATAAATTAAAAAGGAAAAATAAAAGCCGAGCCCGTCCCCCTCCTCACCGCCAGCCCTCCCCCAAATGAGCAATCACTCGCTTGTGCCCCGCGAATCTCATACAAAAGCCTGGACCCCGAGTCACAGCCCTTTTCTCCAGCGTTAAACGTTCCAGGGCCACAGCTGGGCGCTCTGCGTCTCGGACCCACGTGGGACCCAAGGGCGGCTTCTGAGACGGTCGCCAGGCTCGTCCCCTCGGCCGCAGGGCCGGTGTCCGGTGTCCGGCATCTGGCGCGGAAGGCCGGGCGGCGAGGGCCCGGTGGGTGGGTGGGGGGCGCCCGGGGTGGCAGGTGGCGAGGCCGGGGTCCTGCTATAAATACTCCAGCTCCAGGGCGTGTCGCAGCGCCTCCAGGTCGGCGTGGCACGATATCCGCCAGAACGGCATGTTGTGCTGCGAACACAAGGAACACAGGACGCCCGCCGCTGGGTCTCGGCCCCGCCCCGCCCCCCGCTGGCCCCTCCCCTCCCCGCCGGCCCCCCTTCCGGCGCCACCCCGCCCTGCC